GTTCTGGGAACACGCCTTGGTTTAAACCCGTAGGCTTATATGCCGAGCCAATAGGCTGGACGTTGCGTGATTTCGGCATCGACCATTCCAACTTCGTCGTATCTTGTATCCCTATGCTTCCCGATTTCTTTAAATCCCTTGCTTTATCCCATTTTCAAGATGTTATTGTATATTATTTATATGCATCGAGGTGAGCCATTGGGCGGAGTATTCTCCAGAACCTCTGGGTTACTGAGATATATTTGTATATCTCACCCCGTGTTTGGGGCATTATTTCAGGTAGTTGCAATGGGACTAGAGCTGTGGGCAAGAGGCCCATAGGATGAGCACTTGGAGATTGGAGGATTTTTGCATTTTGAGGCCACTCTGGCATAGGCTAGACTTAGGGCATGAACATTGTGTATTGATTTAGGATTATGCATATTGTATACTTGTTCATGCCATAATTTGCCTAAGTTTAGTTGTTGATTTATCATGTTGTACTTTAGAATATTTAATTGTATTACTTATCATTTGGAAAATTGTCAATGTGAACTCATGGAACTTGTGTAATATGAAAAGCATGTATGTGATGAAAGGGAAATATGCCTAATTTAAGTTATGATTATGTATCTATTGTAAGAATGCAAGCAAATGGGACAATATGATTGTAATAATTCTAAGTTTTGATATAGTATGTAATGAATCATAAATGGATGAGAATATGTTAAATTGTTGTGGGTTGTAAGAGCACCAAGGCATTGTTGGTCCTTGAGTGCCACCCATGTCTATTAGGTACCTTTGAGGCATAATAACACACTTTTGATAAAGTGGGATAGATTGAATAAACAAAGGAGGTTCCGCCGAAATTTATACTAAAATGGCAGTTTTTAGGCTAACTTTGGGAGAGCATATGTTCCTCCACAAAGGTCCAATAGGGACGTTCCATATATCATTTTGAAACTTGAGATGTCAGGTATATTGTGTCAAAATTTGATATCATTCGGAGTAGTAAAACTTTCCCAGTTTTCAAATGAATACGGACTACTCTGTTTCGTGCTGTAGAACGCAGCTTCTGTAAGCAGTTTTCAAAAATTTATAACTCCCTTATTTCTTACTCAAATTAGACTTATGATATGTCAAATTAAAGCCCCATGAATCTAGTTTCTTGTTTCCAAAATTTGGAATTTTTTGGGCAGTGGATCACTCCCAGTTTGGATTAGAACTAACGTTGCTAAACTTTAAAATGTTAAAATGGAGGTGATGTTATGATAGTAGGAATGGGAACGACTGTTGTTTAGGGGACGATAATGCCATATGTTCAGATGGTGGGAACGAACCAAAAGGGGAACAACTCTTGAGAATGACCCTAGGGAACGACTTATATGTATAGGGAACGTCCCGTGTATGGGGGAACGTCACACGTTCCCAGCTCATACATGATTTAGTAAAATGGATATATCTTCAGCTATAGAGCTTCAAATCGAGTGAGGTTTGGACTTATATGAAGCTAACACATAGGACTATAATCCGGTAAAGGTTTAGGACCATTGAGTATATGGATTATTCCCAGTTTAATTTATAAGTTGTTGCCCTGTTTTGTTTAGAGTCTGTTTACAGTCTTGAGGGATCAGCTTATGGTGAGCGTATCCGGAGTTATAGAACTCCAAATGAGGCGTGTGATACCTTGTTGGAAAGTTAATTGAATCTATTTTAACATACTAAAAGATGGGAAACTAATAATGTATGGATCATGCCCAATAGTAAGGACAGAAGCATGTTCAATGTTAGGAAAAGTGGAAAAACAAGATTTATGCTAAGTTGGTTTATGGGAACCTCTCAGCAACTTAAAGTAAACATTGTATGATAGTTAAGCGTGTGTAATGTTAATTTCGCGTATAGATTTCAGTTATGATCACAGTTTATATCATTACGTTTTATATTGTTTTCAAATGCTTACGGAATGAAAAGGAAAAAGTTTACTTGTATTTTTAAATAAACTGTTGTGATTGTAACTGCGCTTAATATCATAATCAATGTTAACAATACCGGTACGTAACGAGCTGTTACATTGTCCAGGTTGCCGGGGTGAATTGTCTTGCCTTTTGCTTTAGGTTTTCTACTGAGCTGAGAGTGTTTGAATTTTTGTAAACTTTTTGCATATATGTTCCTTACATCTCAGGCTTTTAAATCGGGGTCCTCATTGCCCCTTATCTCGGTGGGTTGATCATAAACCATGGAAAATATTTCACGTACCGAGTTTGGGATGAGCTAGAGTGGTTGAGATCCAACTGGCGAGTTGCCCTCAAGCATCATTCCATACGCACACGTCCTAAGCTTGTAGCTTTCTTCTGAAACCGGGAATGATTTTCCCTTGTCAACTATGTGGGCGGGTTATGCATGAACCCTGCAAGATACTGCACATGTGCAACCGGGGAACAGACGATCTTGAGTTGTTGGGATCCAACTGGCGAGTTGCCCCCAATTCTCATCCATGTAACCCGGCTAAAAGTTGCCCCCAGCCCGGTGTAGTTTGGTTGTCCAGGCTGCCGGGATGAAATAGCAGTAATCTCTGCATTTCCTTTGCATATTTTATTCAAGTTAACAGTAATCTCTACATTTTCTTTGGGTTGGAACTTTTCTTGGCCGACTTAATTGGGTCAGTGATTGCAGATATTATCTCTGTCATTCATTCAGCTGGTTTTAGTGAATCGAGTATTGAATATGTTGTTTTCATATTTCTCCCTCGATCTTTTTTGGATAAGGTGGTGCTTTGGTGAGACAGTGTTTTTAACATCGAGCTCGTAGCTGTTCCTTCCGAGGCTTTCGCTTTGAGCCCAACTTCTTGCACTGTGGCTTTATTGATTCAGATTAAGCTTTTCAGCGTAACTGAACAAAATGACCTAGCCAAGGTTTTTCATGCGGATTCCGCTTTTTGCTTTTAACCCAATTTTCTTAATTAGGTTTTCAAATTTGAGGCGTCATGGTGACTTGATCAAGGTCGTACCAATCTGCTCCTTATTTTTCAAGCCTGATTTCATTTATCACAGCTTGTACACATGTTGTTTATTTTGACAATGTTTAGGATTCGAAAACGTCGTTCTGTTTTCCTATGCCTCGGCTAGAAGTCACAGTCCTGCAGTGTGCTTTTTATTTTTGAACCCGTTTTCTATCCAGGTTCTTGCACGTTGCTAGACGTAGGTTTTCAATACCTTGGCTTTATAATATTTGACGTAAGAGTTATTTTTTGACTTCGTCTTGTTTCGTCGTTTTGACTTGTGAGCCATTTCAGATTGGGGCATGATCCTTTTTCTAGGATCCCATCTCTCCAACCTGTCTTCATTCTTTACCCCAGATTTTTATCACGGGTCTTTATCCCGGATTGGGGTGTGATCCTTTTCTAGGACCATATCTCTCCAAACCCGTCTTCATTTCATCGCGGATTGGGGTGTGATCCTTTTTTCTAGGACCCCATCTCTCCAAATCTGTCTTCATTTTATCGCGGGTTGGGGCGTGATCCTTTTTCTCAAGATCCCATCTCTCCAAACCCGTCTTCATTTCATCGCGGATTGGGGTGTGATCCTTTTTCTCAGGATCCCATCTCTCCAAATCTGTCTTCATTTTATTGCAGGTTGGGGCGTGATCCTTTTTCTCAGGATCCCGTCTCTCCAAACCCGTCTTCATTTCATCGCGGATTGGGGCGTGATCCTTTTTTCTAGGACCCCATCTCTCCAAATCCGTCTTTATTTTATCGCAGGTTGGGGCGTGATCCTTTTTCTAAGGATCCCGTCTCTCCAAACCCGTCTTCATTCTTTATCCCGAATTTTTATCCTGGGTTGTTGCCCCTCAGCCCGGCAGTCTGGGTGTCTGGGATACAGGGTTGATGTGCATTACTTTTTATCGCATTTGGAAATATTTTATTCTCAGTGGCTGGAAGTCGGCTATATTCATGGTCCGAGCCTTGTTAGCCTTTGTTGTATGGCTTCAGCTATTATGTTGACCTCTTTGTCGAAGTTTTATTGATTCATTGATCCATGTTCTGAAACCACGGATTCTTGTCGATCCGTGTTTCGGATTTATTCTTATTTCGTTCTTTCTTCGGTGCCGAGCGTCATGAGTCGGGTGCCGTGTATGCTGTTTCAACATTCCTCCCTCAACCTTTTTGGTCGAGGTACGTAGCTCGGACTAGTTGACTAATATTTTTGACTGTCGTACCGAGATCTTGACTTATGAGGATTGTTGCTATCTTCTTTTCATTTTAGTTGTATTCCTGCACTTGCCCCCCAATCCGGCAGTCGGGAAATCCGGGTTGTCGGGCTGTATTACTTTAATTCAAGCATCTTTAGGTCGGAATACTGACTTGCTTTTGCAATTTGCCTTTTTTGCTTATTTGAGGATCTTTGCGATCCTTTTTCACTGATGTTGCGGGGTTTTGTGACACCCTCCCCTGTACGCGTCCAAGGGAGTTGTCTGCTAAGCGGATTAGAGTCTTAACGGAATAGAATTGAATAATTTAACTGCACTTTTAAATCGAGATACATTATCTTTATTTGAAATCTGGTTGTACAAAAAAAATCAGAGTGGAACTTGTTAAAATACATAGCTTGCGGAAATGACAGTTTTCCAGAAAACCTTTCTGTCTTGTAAAGATCATATCAATTCGAATATAACAAGTTAAGAAAATCTTCTTTGACACAAGAAACTAGACATTTGGGGCTTTACGTGGATATAAAAATTATTCCATTCGGAGGTGTATAGCTCCCGAAACAGAACTCGTAAGGCACTAGATAAGTCAGTGCAAATGTTCCAAAACTACCTAACTTGCAAAAATCATATAAATCTGTGCTTACATGCAGTGGACATAAACTTTATATAATATGAAACTAGACATCTGCGGCTTCACGTGCATATAAATTATATGTAAATCGGAGTACGGTAGCCCCAGATACAGAACTCGTAAGTTGCTTGCTAAATAAGTTTAAAGAAAATCCGAATTTAGAAACAGACAAAATTGTTTTCGCAAACGAGTTCAAAATTACGCAATTTATAGCAATACATAAAATCCCAAAATACAGCAAGATCAGATATGTCCTAACATTTTTCCAATCTCCCAAAATATTACACCAACGTCAAATATTTCATGCGCATTCGACAGAATCAGCAAACAAACAGCAGAAATTCCAACAGCAACATGTAAACAGAATATCTCCAATACAAGTACATCATCAAATGCTTTTTCGTGCTCCTGCAATTTATAAAAATTGAGCCCCTAAAGGGGTGAGAAAAATCCCAGTAGTGTGATAGTAAAACCAGTAAAGCAACAATATTAGACTAGGTACAAAATTCCAAAACAGTCGCATCAACATATAATTTTCCGGATAGATGCTAACATATAATCATAGTGCGTATATAACGCCAAAGTACTAATCATGATGCGTATATAACGCCATAATACTAATCAGAGTGCGTATATAACGCCATGGTAATGTACGTTCATAGCACTGCAGTGCACGTACTACTAACTAACACAGTGGAGATTCCATATTGGCTCCATCAAGGTGAATTCCAACTGTGACCTATGCGAATTGAAGCCAAGTGTCCGATACCCTGGTACCGGAGGGATGCCTATATGATACGTGCTCAATCATATGCTTACTTGTATTATATACTTCGGTTTCCAAGCTGGATGCACAATGCTGTATGCCATGATATGCTTCGCACATATGATACGTGCAAAAAGAAACAGATGAATTATGACGTACAAAAAGAAACAGTTGAATTATGACGTACATATGCATGACTAGATCATCATCATAATAGCATATATTTCAAGTATTTTTAATACCAAGCTGCCGAATAACAAATGCTTCCCAAAGCAGAATTTCCATCATGTCAAGTTCAAGGCAGAATACATATAACATATACCAAAATACGAGTCCAAGGCACATGTGAGCAACAACTCACAATTCCATACACTAGCTAATAGTCACAATAGGTCTCACCACCAAACACTTACCTTGTGAGCCCAAGTACTAATCAAACAGCACCAGAATAGTCCACGTTCTTAGAGATTTTGCACACCTAATATATCATTACACCAAATCAGAATTTTATATAATTTTTCCTTTAATTCACAATTGATTTCTATGCTTCTAATCCTTGTACCTTAATTGAGTTATTGTGCTACTAATGCCAATTATTATTCTGCCCTTCAAGTTATTCCACCCATTGCTAGCAATTAAAATTTCCCAAGGTCTCATACATATATAGGTTCGGCTTTCAGCATAACAAACTGTTCAGGATATTATTTACAAAATTCATTCCAAAAATTGCTAACAAATAAGAGTTTTCCAAGGTCCCCAACACACACACACAGCCACGGTTTTTAGCCAACAAATTGGTTCTTAATATTTTTCCTTTACCCAAAATTCTACTCACATCACTTAAGCATGAATTACTAACTCGTTAACATGCTGCCTTCGATTTTATTACAATGCATGCAAAGCCTAATCAGTTTTCCTAATCCAATGACGGTCCCGAAACTCAAGATGATTCATAATCCAAATTTACAAAAAAACCAGTTTTCAGACTTGCTTGTATTCAGATCATGGCTGTTCCTTATGATTAATTAATATATACAAAATTAGATTATCCTTCTAGTCAAAAGGGTAGTCCACACACGGTGGTGAGTTATTTTTCCCACGCCCCAAGACCTGTCTTATGACATACATACAGTGAGGTTTACATTTTGTACAGAATTTGAGGAAGGATTTCAAAACAGAATTTATTTCCTATGAGCTACTCAAAAAGGACAGAATTACAGAAAAGGGAATGGCCAAAATAAAATGCTCCCCAACATGCATATGAGGGCCGAACGGATCAAAAACAAGGAGAGGTTATTTGCTTAACTTACATCTACTTGTAAGAAACCCATGTTGTGCAAATCGGCCATTGGGAGCAGTGACTCAAAGCTGCGAAATTTCTCTCTTCTCTACAGCTCCAAGAAACCGGTTTCAGTGGCATGTCATGTGAGGAAAGACCCAATCAAAACTGGGTCGAGGACATGCAATGGGAAATAAGTCCAAATCAGAACCGGTTCTAGTAAAAGGGACGATAAGACCGTAAACAAAATACCTCACCTTCTCCCACTTGAGGATGGTTGTGCGCAGAAATGAAGAGGAGGGGGGGTGAGAGTTTAAATGTCAATCTGTATGCAGAAGAATCTCCAACATGGCGAAGGGAATCATGAGGAACAAGGGAGCAATAAAAACAGTACAACTCCTTTGCTTGGGGACACGACCGAACAGTGAACAGAAGAGAAAGTATGCTTAAGAGTCTTGCTATCCATGAAGTTCACGGTTTGTGGAGCGTATGAGGGAAATGAAATGTAAATTCTGGGTTCTTGGTGATCTCCTATAGGGCTCACGGCTTTGGGAGTAGATGGGGAACTACATGTGATTCTGATTAGAAAATCAACAATGACCCTTGGGGCTTCCTTTTACAACGCATGGGAAGAAGAAGAGAAGGGATACTAAGGTCTCACAATCTGGATTAAAGTTCAGCAAGGGATGAAACAAAAACTCACACTTGATATTTTCCAATGGTGCACACAAAAGAGAGTATAAGGAAGGTGTGATTTTCGGCCAATAGAATTTCATGCAAGCTCACCACTCACTTCCCATTGGACATAGGCTTACAAGGCTGACTTGAGTTTATCTAAAATTACAAGAAATCAGAATTTCTTATCCACCTATGCGCATAACAAGGACTCACAAGAGGGGATGAGGTTTTGCCATGTGTTAATACCCCACCAATGTAGGGTAGCCTTGTGGATCTATTTAGGATAAGGTGTGAGGCTCACTAAGTGATGAAGGCTGAAAATAAGTCCCACTTTGGGCTCTTGGGTCATCGGCCATCACAAGAGTTGGGTCCAAAATATAAGTCCAATGACTCTCTCATCTTATGAACTAACCTATACCTTATTATTTTATGTAACCTCTACTTATTAACTAATGGGGTTTATTCCTTAAAATAAAATTAATCACATACTTACAACTAATATTCAAGTTCAGAAATTATCCCTACTTATTCCTAATAGCATGCATGCACAAAATTAATTTCCGTAACTCGAATTTATTCCCTCCTGAACATATATATATATATTTCGAGTTCAAGACCTGTATTACATTACTAATGGCAGTTTATATACGTTCCTATTTTCGCGAGATGTTACACTCTCCCCACCAAGATTTGAAGTTTGTCCCCAAACTTCGTCCTACCATTCCAAAGTCTGCATATTTCAAGTGTCTAACACAATTTCATTCTTACACTATGTTACGTTACACCCAGATAAGTATCTATAAAGTCATTGAACATTAATCCGGGTACTACAAACAGATTGCACCTTACCTGTTCGTCATATATATATATATATATATATATATATATATATATATATATATATATATATATATAACCAAGTTTTACTCATAGGGAAGGGGATAGAAATTTTCTAACTTACTCATAACAAAACAATGTCTGGTTCCCTTTATACCACTTCTTCACTATATAACTTTAATGACAGTATTAGTGTGGGCATAAGAGAGCAAAATTTTATTCACCCGTATTCAAAATTACAACATATGAAATGAATCATGACCATAGACAGATGGCTCCTCAAAATCCCTATATCATCACTCACCCTTGATGTCACACCACACTACTACTCAACTGATTATAAATTTAAAGGTTTCCATATAAAAATGCAATTAACAAGTCCATGGCCTAAATGAAAAATTCCTTAAATGTAGAGTTCCATTTAACCATGAAGTAATATTACCTCCTACTACCTGTGCAAATATAAGGGCTAATTAACTAGGATCTCCAATTACAAACGTTTCGCCTTTGTAAGGTACATGTTACAATTTAGAAGTGCCATTAGTCTCTTACTTAATAATATCACAGACAGAATTCTATACTTATTAGGCTTCAGGAAGTCAAGCAAGTAAAACAGAGCACATTATATTCTAAATTTCAACGAGAAGAATCTTCATAAAATCACGAAACCTCTATCCTGCTTTTCAGACATATCATGTTAAGTGGTACCCCTCATACAGTTCGTCAAAACACCTATATGAGGAAACTTCCTCGAGCTTTCCGCTGTCCTAGGTACCTTGGATGTAATTGACTCCACTAATCAGAGGATCCATTAACCATGATATGAATTTTCCAAACATTAGCACATATTACAATTTGAAACAGCTACTCAACATTAACCACTAACAGAGACCACACTTTCATAATTCAAGTTCACAAAGGCCACATCCAACTCCGACTTGCAATTAAATTTCTATCTAGAGTGACAAGTCAAAAACACGACACAAGACCACATGCATGAAAACACCAAGTCCAAAGTCCCCTAAATAGATAACTGAGCCCATCTATACAAACAGTAGTGCATCTATGCAATAATGACATCTCCAGAATAATAGCAATATCTTATGATGTTTGCAAAACAATTATCAAACTTTTGAGTATGAGATTTACAACAGTGTATTCAGGTTCAAAATGGAATCTTATGCCGGTTAAATAACAATTAAATATCATCAGGGTGCTAACGTTAAATTCAACTTTTATATCACATACTCAGCCTTTATGTTAGATGTCCAAGTAACGATGTGAGTATAACAAGGGGGTTCTAACTAGTAACTAGCTCTAGAGGCATATCCACAAACCATTAACAGCTCCCAACAAACATGAGCAGACGGTGAAGGAGATTCATATTAATTCCTGTTTAGCAGTTAAAGCACATATGCAATTGAATCGAGAGAATAGTTCAAGTTATCACACTATGCAGCTATATTAGTCTTCCTCCTTACACACAGTAAGTTAATACCGATTCACCTATACATACAATTCATATTTCGAGATCCAACATGTACTGCGTTGCAATTTAAAATATACCCCTAAGACAATGCAAGATTTTACTAACGTTACCCGTGTAAGGGACTACTACTCAGAAATATTATGATAGAGAAAAGTTCAAACTCTTAAAGTGGACAGAAAAGTAAGTACTTCAACATATAACAGCAGTGTGCAGACCCACATACAGACAATGGTGCATATGTAAAATTGCATGCTTAAGCACCCAATGTGCCAACTTATGATTGCTTCGACCACTTGAACTACTAGGCATGGAAATTGCATGTTTATACATCAGGAACGTTTATAAGATGTATATTATATGTAAGAGTATGTAACACTTAAATGTTGTAGACTTGGACAAATTAGTAAAGCTCGGTTGAAATGGTTAAAAATGTTACACATAGTATGTTATATGAAACAGGTGTTGGTTTGCGTCTATAATCAGTTAACTAGCTCCACAATTTCAGTTTTAAGTTACTCTGCAAGAAACCGAATCATGCAGTCTAAAAAAAAAACATTACAAGTGCCAAGTGTGTGACGATTTAAATGTGAATTACTGATCAGAAGTAGTGAAACTGAGTTGACCAATTAATATGATAATGTTCATAAAGTAAACCAGACCTAAGGTCCTATGTATCTGTAGATATCAAATTTCTCCGCTCCCACAATTAAAAGAAACTAACAGGTATGAACTTATAACAGTCAAAGCTGATAACAATCAACTTTCAATTTCCCTATACAGTCCAATTATATCATTAATGCAGGGTATCAATACCTGTACACAAAATTCTATAGTGAACCAGTTAGAATCTTCTGACGCTTACTCGGGTATTAATTTTAGCAAAATGTCAATTAGCCAACATAATAAGACAAGCCAAATAAGGTGTAGCTCCATGTAATCACAATTTACCTATTCAGTCCACTATATTCTAAATTCAACCCAGATTACCTTTCTTTAATTGTGCATTCAGTTCCAATATAATGTTAAAAATCTAAACTGACAAATTCAAACAATCACCAAATAAAATCCGTTACTCTAATCAGAGACAATAAACTATATGCAAGTCTAAAAGTGGCCAACATCATACAAAGCAATCCAATACATATGAACTAGAACGACAAGTATCACTCACATGAAGGACAGGGAGGTAGGAGTCAAGTACCTTCCTCCACACATCACCACTATGTTTCATAGCTTCTTTCTCAAGAATGACGTCTAGTGCCAATTCACCATTAGAAAATTTGTAAGGACAGCAGACCCACATGTTCAAGCCTTAATTAACTTCAATTCTACTTTCTAAGGGCATTAACTGGATCTACTTAGATAAGTGATCTATTCCTACATAAATTTTGTCTCCGTACAGTTTTAAGGTCAAATAACAAGTCCTTCTTAATGCTAGTTAACTACATCAATTATCATGATTATATAACTGCTACTCTTACTCAGTTATGAGACCTGACGGAATTAGTGGAAAAGAACAACTGTTTCTATTATCCAGCAATATACACAACCACACATGCAAAGGAAACAACATAAATCTCAAGGGTAAGTACGCACCAGCAGTCATTATTTAAATATTCCATGTTATCATCCACGGCTTAGAATATCACAAAAATATTCACATCAAGTATATATATATATATATATATATATATATATATATATATATATATATATATATATATATATAACCTTCCTTATAATCTATAGGAAACAGAATTGATAATTAACCATTAATTCAAGTAGCAATTCACTATTTCACACATAGTGCTCAGGCACAAGTATACCCTGTGATCACTATGATTGTGCACACACATCTTGCACGACAGTGATTTGATCAGGCTCACCACCTAGCAAGGAAATGGTCACAGCCATGCTTAATACCGGGTGCTACCAGTACCATCACACCTAAAGGAAAAGAAATTTTAGTTAACAACCCATGCAGCAGTTATATTCAAACCGCAACCATTCAACGAACATACACAAACAGCCAATAAATTCAAACAACAACAATTCAGCAACCAAGTACAAACAACAAATATTTCATCGAATACAGGCACCTTGAATGAAAACTGCTCTGATACCATTTAGTGTGACACCCTCCCCTGTACGCATCCAAGGGAGTTGTCTGCTAAGCCGATTAGAGTCGTAACAGAATAGAATTGAATAATTTAACTGCACTTTTAAATCGAGATACATTATCTTTATTTGAAATCTAGTTATACAAAAAAAATTAGAGTGGAACTTGTTAAAACACATAGCTTGCGGAAATGACAGTTTTCCAGAAAACCTTGCTATCTTGTAAAGATCATATCAATTTGAATATAACAAGTTAAAAAAATATTCTTTGACACAAGAAACTAGACATTCGGGGCTTTACGTGCATATAAAAATTATTCCATTCGGAGGTGTATAGCTCCCGAAACAGAACTCGTAAGGCACGAGATAAGTCAATGCAAATGTTCCAAAACTACCTAACTTGCAAAAATCATATAAATCTGTGCTTACATGCACTGGACATAAACTTTATATAATATGAAACTAGACAACTGGGGCTTCACGTGCATATATATTATATGTAAATCGGAGTTCGGTAGCCTCAGATACAGAACTCGTAAGATGCTTGCTAAATCAGTTTAAAGAAAATCCGAATTTAGAAACAGACAGAATTGTTTTCGCAAACGAGTTCAAAATTACGCAATTTATAGCAATACATAAAATCCCAAAATATAGCAAGATCAGATATGTCCTAACATTTTTCCAATCTCCCAAAATATTACACCAACGTCAAATATTTCATGCGCATTCGACAGAATCAGCAAACAGACAACAGAAATTCCAACAGCAACATGTAAACAGAATATCTCCAATACAAGTACATCATCAAATGCTTTTTCGTGCTCCTGCAATTTATAAAAATTGAGCCCCTGAAGGGGTGAGAAAAATCCCAGTAGTGTGATAGTAAAACCAGTAAAGCAACAATATTAGACTAGGTACAAAATTCCAAAACAGTCGCATCAACATATAATTTTCCGGACAGATGCTAACATATAATCATAGTGCGTATATAACGCCAAAGTACTAATCATGATGCGTATATAACGCCATAATACTAATCAGAGTGCGTATATAACGCCATGGTAATGTACGTTCATAGCACTGCAGTGCACGTACTACTAACTAACACAGTGGAGATTCCATATTGGCTCCATCAAGGTGAATTCCAACTGTGACCTATGGGAATTGAAGCCAAGTGTCCCATACCCTGGTACCGGATGGATGCCTATATGATGCGTGCTCAATCATATGCTTACTTCTATTATATACTTCGGTTTCCAAGATGGATGCACAATGCTGTATGCCATGATATGCTCCGCACACGCAAAAAGAAACAGATGAATTCTGACGTACATATGCATCACTAGATCATCATCATAATAGCATATATTTCATGTATTTTTAAGACCAAGCTGCCGAATAACAAATGCTTCCCAAAGCAGAATTTCCATCATGTCAAGTTCAAGGCAGAATACATATAACATATTCAGAATACGAGTCCAAGGCACATGTGAGCAACAATTCACAATTCCATACACTAGCTAATAGTCACAATAGGTCTCACCACCAAACACTTACCTTGTGAGCCCAAGTATTAATCAAACAGCACCAGAATAGTCCACGTTCTTAGAGATGTTGCGCACCTAATATACCATTACACCAAATCAGAATTTTATATAATTTTTCCTTTAATTCACAATTGGTTTCTATGCTTCTAATCCTTGTACCTTAATTGAGTTATTGTACTACTAATGCCAATTATTATTCTGCCCTTCAAGTTATTCCACCCATTGCTAGCATTTAAAATTTCCCAAGGTCTCATACATATATAGGTTCGGCTTTCAGCATAACAAACTGTTCAAGATATTATTTACAAAATTCATTCCAAAAATTGCTAACAAATAAGAGTTTTCCAGGGTCCCCAACACACACAAACAGCCTCGGTTTTTAGCCAACAAATTGGTTCTTAATATTTTTCCTTTACCCAAAATTCTACTCATATCACTTAAGCATGAATTACTAACTCGTTAACATGCTGCCTTCGATTTTGTTACAGTGCATGCAAAGCCTAATCAGATTTCCTAATCCAATGACGGTCCCGAAACTCAAGATGATTAATAATCCAAATTTACAAAAAAACCAGTTTTCAGACTTGCTTGTATTCAGATCATGGCTGTTCCTTATGATTAATTAATATATACAAAATTCGATTATCCTTCTAGTCAAAAGGGCAGTCCACACACGGTGGTGAGTTATTTTTCCCACACCCCAAGACCTGTCTTATGACATACATACAATGAGGTTTACGTTTTGTACAGAATTTGAGGAAGGATTTCAAAACAGAATTTATTTCCTATGAGCTACTCAAAAAGGACAGAATTACAGAAAAGGGAATGCCCAAAATAAAATGTTCCCAAACATGCATATGAGGGCCGAACGGATCAAAAACAAGGAGAGGTTATTTGCTTAACTTACATCTACTTGTAAGGAACCCAAGTTGTGCAAATCGGCCATGGAGAGCAGTGACTCAAAGCTGCGAAATTTCTCTCTTCTCTACAGCTCCAAGAAACCGGTTTCAGTGGCATGTCATGTGAGGAAAGACCCAATCAAAACTGGGTCGAGGACATGCAATGGGAAAGAAGCCCAAATCAGAACCGGTTCCAGTAAAAGGGACGATAAGACCGTAAACAAAATACCTCACCTTCTCCCACTTGAGGATGGTTGTGCGCACAAATGAAGATTGGGGGGGGGGGGGGGGGGGGGGGGGGGGGGGGGGGGGGGGGGGGTGAGAGTTTAAATGTCAATCTGCATGCAGAAGAATCTCCAACATGGCGAAGGGAATCATGAGGAACAAGGGAGTAATAAAAACAGTACAACTTCTTTGCTTGGGTACACGGCCGAACAATGAACACAGGAGAAAGTATGCTTAAGAGTCTTGCTATCCTATGAAGTTCACGGTTTGTGGAGCGCATGAGGGAAATGAAATGCAAATTCTGGGTTCTTGGTGATCTCCTATAGGGCTCACGGCTTTGGGAGTAGATGGGGAACTACATGTGATTCTGAATAGAAAATCAACAATGACCCTTGGGGCTTCCTTTTACAGCGCATGGGAAGAAGAAGAGAAGGGATACTAAGGTCTCATAATCTGGATTAAAGTTCAGCAAGGGATGAAACAAAAACTCACACTTGATATTTTCCAATGGTGCGCACAAAAGAGAGTATAAGGAAGATGTGATTTTCGGCCAATAGAATTTCATGCAAGCTACCAGTCACTTCCCATTGGACATAGGCTTACAAGGCTAACTTGAGTTTATCTAAAATTACAAGAAATCAGAATTTCTTATCCACCTATGCGCATAACAAGGACTCACAAGAGGGGATGAGGTTTTGCCATGTGTTAATACCCCACCAATGTAGGGTAGCCTTGTGGATCTATTTAGGATAAGGTGTGAGGCTCACCAAGTGATGAAGGCTGAAAATAAGTCCCACTTTGGGCTCTTGGGTCGTCGGCCATCACAAGAGTTGGGTCCAAAATATAAGTCCAATGACTCTCTCATCTTATGAACTAACATATACCTTATTATTTTATGTACCCTCTACTTATTAACTAATGGGGTTTATTCCTTAAAATAAAATTAATCACATACTTACAACTAATATTCAAGTTCAGAAATTATCCCTACTTATTCCTAATAGCATGCATGCACAAAATTAATTTCCCTAACTCAAATTTATTCCATCCTGAACATATATATATATATATATATATATATATATATATATATATATATATATATATCGAGTTCAAGACCTGTATTACATTACTAATGGCAGTTTATATACGTTCCTAATTTCGCGGGATGTTACAGTTTTGTTCCCAGTTCTCCGTATGTTTCGTTTGCAGAGTTGAATTTAGCCCAATTTTATATACTGTAGCTTTATTCACTTGAGCTAGGCTTTGCCAGAATCTCGTTGTGATATCGTCTTCTGTTTCAACCCGGTTGTGCATATCGTGTGTTTCACAGATTTTGATTTGACAAAATCATTCACCTTTTTGAGTCCGGCTTGCATTGCCGTGACGTTCAGATAGAACGGGGTGAGACTCCCGTTGAATGATTTTGCCTTTATACTCGCATCTTGAGTTTTATGCCTCCCTGATAACTTAGATATATTTTTCTAAGTATTCGAGGTTCATCTGATTCCAGAGTTGCCTGAAGTATTCGTTAAATACTTCTAAGGACTTAGCATTCTCTTGATTTTGATAAACAAGCTTGTACCCTTGTTATCTAGGTTTGCAACTTAGGCAATTTTCTAAGAATATCAAACCTTACCCGAGTTGTCCCTCATCCAAGACAGGTTATTTTTACAACTCGAATAAATTCTTATTTTCGCAACTCGTGCATTTTACGAGTTACGGTATATTGACCTGGCCGAGGTCAAAGCATTGTACGGATTCCGCTTTTTGTCACTCTCTGTGACGCATGATTGTTTTTACTTTACGTTTTGTTAAGTCAGCATTGATGAAGGTGATCATTATCGCCTTCAATCATGACCTGGGTTTCATAACCCGATACTATCCAAGATAAAGGCAGTATTGTCACATGTCCCACTTGGGTCTTTCGACCTTAGTACGGAGCATTTCGACTTGATCAGAGTCAGCGTGACAAATTGCGCTTGTATCTCAGATTTGTGTTGATGCATCAGAAACACAAGGATCCATATTTATGAAGGTATCTAATTGTTCCCTCGTTTTACTTTAACCCAAATTCGTATACCGTTGTTTCATAATATCAAACTCAACTTTTTACCTGAGTTTCAATTGCAAAGGCGTCGTGATTACTTGATTAGTGTCGCCTCAATCTGCCCTCTTGAATTTTAGTTCAGTTTGGATTACGGAAGCGTCCTCCCGCTTTCCTTGAACCAGGCTTGATGTCGCATGCATGCATTATTCTTATGTTTGGACCCGAATTGGGTCCGTCTTCCAGTTTATATCCTGGATTTATATTTATCCTGGATTGGATCTCGCCATATCCGTCTTCATTTTATTTTTGATTTATATCTCGGATCTTTATGTCTATCTCGGATTGGATTTCTCCATATCCGCCTTTAACTTGGATTGGATCTCACCATATCCGTCTCCGTTTTATTTTTGATTTGTACCTCGGATCTTTATTTCTATCCCGGATTGGATCTCGCCATATCTGTCTTCGTTTTATTTCCGATTTGTACCTCGGATCTTCATTTCTATCCCGAATTGGATCTTGCCATATCTGTCTTCAGCATTTATGATGGATTGGCTCCATTTAATAAACCATTTATATCCCAGAGGGCCGGTCTTCATTCTGGCTTGGCTTCTTTTGTTGAAGCCTTATATTTAAGGAGACACATTTTGCTTATTTGAATTGCATTGCTTCTTCTTCTTGCATGGCTTTTTAATTTGGGCCCCACTTCTTTGTGGTGCCATTTTATCTGAACTCGGCTTCATTAGCCATGGTCTTTTCATTTTCTGGAGCCCGGCTTCTTGTGCCTCGGCTCTTCTTTCAGCTTGGCTTCTTTCGCCCAAGACTTGCATTCATCTAGGTGGATTTCCTTCTTATTTGAGTGGATCTGGATCTCCTTCTTTTTGAGGGGATCTCCACACCACCTGTTTAATTATTCCTTGCATCGTAATAAAGTATGAAGAAAGCAATTAACAATAATTTTGATTCAATCAGAAATCAACAATTATCCAGTTGTAATAAGATAATAATTGCAATCAGCAATAAATAATAATTGGCCAGCAGCAATAATTGATCATATTTCATGCTACTCGTGTTTGATTGAGCATCCATCACGAAGGCTCCATGCTCCCCAATTTTGTTGATCCTCATCTATGCTTCATGAAACTTAGGGAACTCGGCCTTATTGTGAAACTTGGTGCTCCTTTTTTCATGATAATATATTAAAAAATATTTGTTGTCTTTTTAGCAATTTTGCTTGCAAGAGAACGGTCCCTTTGAGGGCCTCACTAGATAAGACGGCTGAGATTGGCTCCTTCATGAATGCGAACAGTGTAACACCCCGTGTATACCCGGTTTGTTAATATATCATCGTATTAAGCTGCGCTTAATTAAAAATGCAGAATATCTTTTTCTTTTCAATTATGACGTCATTATACTTAGCCAAGTTGATTACTTAATCATTTTCATAAAATCATCGCCTGTATGTAAATTGCAAATAGACATCTAACTAAAATACCTTATAATATAGATAAAGTGAGTATCTAAAATCACGGATCTACGACACGTAGTCCGGACAATATCCTGATACATTATTACAACTCCAAATAAAAGCAGACATAATCAAGTCTACGTGGCATGGACAATCCCCATGCTCACCAAATCAACATCATAACCAACAGAGTCTCAACATAATAATCCATAAACTGAAGCTAAAAGCATAAGACAGTAAACAAGATCCATCATCCAATCACAACAGCATATCAGCATACTCAGCATAAACAACATAAATCAGCTAAGCTCTGGCCTCCTGCCACTAGAGATCTCAATCCCCACATTACCTGAACCTGAAATGGTTCCCCAAACGTGGGGTGAGATCTCTAAACAGAAATCTCAATAAGACAAGGGGTCCTCAAGGATCTTCCACCCCAAGTTCACTTACACGTGCAATATAAGTTCTAAAAGTAGTAATTCAATATAAGTTCCAAAATTATGCAGTGCAACAAATATCCATGCCATGTGTGTATAACTATTCTACTGGCCAGAGAAATGCATGAATACGTCTTTTACCTACATGTAGTACAAGGAACACCGCTTGCGCCTCACCCACAGCCTCACCATTTTGTATGTACCACATACTCAGGCTTACCGTATAGGTGGACACCACATGCATATCATGAAGGCACTCACATATAATAGCTCAACAACATTTATCAAAGCAATACATGAAAACAACATCATGCATATAACCATCCCCCCATGGGACATGGTGGAACCAACAATGACTAAACCGAGGACACGAAAGCTTACCTTGCAAGCTAGCTATCCAAGCCAAGAGTCCACACAATCTCAAAGCCCAAACACAACAGTATCACAATCTGATTTGGACCAGCAATCATATCAATAAACATAGCTTATAAGCATAAACATAAAGACAACGCTTCTCTTTTACGTTTTACGTCTTAAGGCTTCTATCAAAGCCACAAGCCCTTACACACTTGATTCTGACTTAGTTCATTAATTACAGAAGTCCAAGTTCATCAATCTAGGGTCCACAAACCCCCAATAGCCTACTGTATGAACAGTGCAGCTACTGTTCTTCGAAATATCAGAATATCTGGATATTTGTTGGGGGCATATCTGGATATACCATATCCGGATATGCATATCCGGATATCATATCCGGATATCAGAAAACCCCATATCCGGATATTGATATCCGGATACCCATATCTGGATATCAATATCAAAATATTCACAACCAAATATCCAGATATTTCGCGACAGAACCCAGATTTTGCATTTCGCGAAAATCCAAACCAAAGGTCCAACTTTTATCAATTCAAAACGTCAATGCATGCATTTTTATTCTGTTTAAGGTTCATACACCAATTGGTTACTTGCTTAACCCATTCACATGGAAAGACACCACCTTTAAACCATTAAAACTCATGATCAAGGTTAGGCAAATCACCCCAAAGCTTAAAATAGAAGAAAGAGTGCTCTTGGAGCTCACCAATGGCTCCTCACAG